CCGCCCGCCCCGCGGGGCCGCAGCGGCCCCGGCCCCGGCGCGGCGGGTGTGTGGGGATGGGGGCAGCGGGACTCACACTGCGCGGCGGCCCGAAGTCCCCGCGCTCCCGCCGCCGCCCGCCGGCTCCTCTTCGTTCACTTGCCGCTCCGGGATCGCGCCTCGCTCCCCGCCCGCCCCCCGCGCCCGCTGGCCGCCGCCCCCCCCGGGCTCCCCCCTGCCGGCGGCTGAGGAGCGAGCGGGGCAGCCGGCGGAGCGAAGCGGGCCCCGCGCTCAGCGGCTCCCCATGGCACCGGCGGGGCGCGGGGGCGGGCGGGGGCCGGGGGCGGGCGGGGGCGCGGGGCGCTCTCGCGGCGGCGGCGGCACAGCCGGGCCCGGCTGCGGCAGACAGATGTTCGCCCCCTCCCTCCCCGCTCCCCACTTCGGACTCCGCTCCCTGACTGACAGCGCGGCCCGCCCGCGCCGCCGCCGCCGCCAACCGCCGCGGCGCCCCGCCGCTGACTGACGGGCCTCGGCGGCCTCCGATTGGAGGAGAGGGGCCCGGGAAGGCCGGCTGCGCCGCCAATCGCAGCGCGCGGACGGGCAGAGGGGGCTTGCCCCGGCGGGGAGCCGAGGCGGAAGGGGGCAGGGCCACACTGGGCCCGGGGCGGGGCAAGCGGGACGGGGCGGGGCCGGCGGGGCGGGGCGGGGCGAGGCGGTGGGGGCGGCGGCGCGGTGCATGGTGGGACGGCGGCAGGTGCGGCGCGGCCAGGGCGGGCCCGGCGGGAGCTGTGCTGAAGTGGGCTCCTGCTCCTTGGAGTGCTCCTGCTTCTTGGAGTGCTCCTGCAGCCTCGCCCGGCCGCCTGGGCGCTGCTGGGCTGCCGGGGGGCCGGACGGCAAAGTGCTGAGACCACACGCTTGTTAGGGGCAAGAGCATTATTAGTGTGTTGTGGGTGGTTATATGTGGGCTGGGTATGTATGCATGTATAGTGTGTATTGCAGTGTTATCTCAAGACCCAAGATGCATCATCTTCCCTTACTAAGAACACACAGTCGACTAAGATAAGGAAACTTTTTGCCAAAATTCACCAAAGATTCCGTATCTAAGAGAAACTCAAGTTGCTGGTGCTTGGTAACTTCGCAGAAGTTGAGTGTGAGAACATCTGGATTAGCATAAATCACAAGGATGGTAATGGATGCTGCTGCAAGATGTCCAAAAATCGAGTAGCTTTACCCTGCCACGTTTATGATTGGGTAATTAGAAATAAGCACCAATGGGTAATTAGGTGATTCATATCATACCATTGTGTAAAACTCCTAAAGTGAAATCTCAGGGGTGTGCCCAGTTTGGCTGGGGCACTTCAGATGCAAGAATAAACATTTATGTTTGTAGTTCTGTGGTTTGGATCCTAGCCTCTCTCTTTGATTAGCACCAGCCAGCTGTGAATTCATGACAAGAATGAAGTGCTTCGGCTTCTCTCTTCCCAAGGAAGTGCTCTGCCCTGAGCTTCCGCCTCAAACCTTGAATTACTGTGGGTAATTTTTGTGCTTCCCGCCGTGGTGGGGCGGATTATGAGGAGCTGTGCCAGCAGGTTGGCATTGTTTGGGATGTGTGTGTGCCCAGGTCTGTGCGCTCCCGGGCAGCGCGGGGAAGGCTGGTGCCTGGGGGGAAGCGAGCTCTCCAGACCTCATCATGGTTCACAGGCAGATTGAGGTCAGCGGCTTTGGAGAATACCACGGCTTAATGGCGGGTTAGGATAGGGCAGTGGAGGCCAGGTTGGAAGGGCTAAGGTCTTCTTCAGCAAAGGACTCATCCAAGGAGGTTTGAGTATTTCCCCATCTCCCCTTTGGTTTCAGGTAAAGAGGTAATACAGGGGAATATTTTAAAGAAAACAAGAATCACCAACAGAGACTTGGCAGTTTAAAGAGAAAGAACTCAGTTATGTATTAATAACCAAAATTGATTGAGTAGATATAAAAAAGCTGCAAACCATGTACTTTGTCTCTTCAGTGATATGAAACTGTTGTAAAGAAACAGACTGAATTCTAGCTGTGCCTAATTGCTTTGACAGCGCTGCTATGTATATAACACAGCAGATAGCATCTAGGTGCCCATATGCTTCAAGCATTACATATATATATATGAAAATATAAAATATATATATGTACAAAAGAAAACACTTTTCAATCCATCCTTCAGTAAACTAATTGCTCCTACTAGGTGAGGACATTTTTAATTATTAACTTTCAGTCCCTCTTTAGATACTGATATAATTCCATCATTAAGAGTTTGGGCATTTTTTCCATTGGCACCCTGTTTCATATTTCATTATAGCTGGAACTTGATAGGATTTTGTCCTTGTCTTCAGGATACAGCAGCTAAGATGCTGACTCTTCGTGTTTCCTGATTGTTTCCTCAGTGCTAATAATCACTTCATCTGAGAAAAATCAGTACTGTATTCCCTGCTGCCTGTTGTTTCTTGAACATCTTCCCTAAAACTACTAAACAGCTTTTGCTTTCAATTGCAAAAATAATAGTTGAAAGTACTTTAACAGGAAATACTTAGGAAAATAATTCTAAAGTTTTGTTTGTTTCATTTTTTTTTAATGTTAAATATACCAATAACTTATGCAGTTACATATATTTGAGCTGTCAGTGACTGTGCCCGAAATGATTACATTAACTGTATCGTCCTAGATCTTTACACTTCGTGCTGCCTCTTGCTTCCTCAAGTAAGCCATCTCACCAGCTGCTCTGGGTTGGTTAGTAAGACCTCAGTTTCTGAATATTTACTGATACAAGTACAGCTTTACTGAGGGAGGAAATTTAGGCATTTACATAATACAAAACTCTTTGAAAAATGAGTCTGCTTAACGTGAAAAAATAAAATAATTTATTTGCTAAACACAACATTTAGCAAATTGACTTTCTCAGATCCTTATAGACTTTTACAGGACCTGAAATTTAAAAATAAATGTTAAATAAAATTTAATTACTGTTTGTACTTTCTGTTAATTTATTATTGCCTCCTCATATACAATAACTTGCCTTCTTATGTTTTAAAACGTATTGAGAAAAAAATGCACTGTCCCTCTTCTAGTATTTACAATGCTGACTCCTAATTAAATCAGGTTGTGTTTTCCATTCTATCATTTGGCTGTATGACCTCCAGCAAATCGCTATGTCTGTTTTGTGTATACTGGTTCACCCTGGGGCTACAGGTTATCTCTTACTACAGTTATATATAAGAGAGTAATCTGCAATTACCATTTATACAGCTGTTATAAAAACCCACTTTTTTTTACTACTTCTAAATAGGAGATGGTGAGAAACAGAAAAAGTGAGTGTGGGTAACACTTTAAGATTAAAAATCTTTTTTGGCAGTGAGTAAGACTTTATTGATTTAGACCTGGAACTGTTGACATTTGTCTGGGATTTTTTTTTTTTTTAATGTGAAAGGAACTCTAATTTTTTTTAAAAATACTTAAAGAGGTTTAAAGACTTAGCATTATGATAAATGTAGAAACAAGATGATAGTGAATTAATGAAAAAAACCTTCAGAGGGAAGACTCACAAATACCCGATAGTCCAGTTGATCCTCTATTAGAAAGAAATAATATAAGACAGGCATTCCATTGAATGAAGCCTTGTTGTAAAGGGACGTAAACATCTGGCAGTACACCTGGTCTCTACACATATTTATAAATCACCTCAGGCATCCCAAGATACTGTAAAGAACACACACAAGAAAATTGAACTAAGAACATTCATAAGCCAAGGAAAATAAAAATTATCTCAATATAGCATGGAAAGAAATGAGTCTCATTTACTTCACAAACACAGTTTGGAAAGACATTATGCAATTTTGCACTTCTTGCACCTTTTCACTTGCTGACTTTCATTTATATCCTCCAGGCAACAAGGAGGCCTGAAGGCCTTTGGCTCATAACCAATGCTGACGTGGCAGCGTGGAGCTACAGGAGCACCTGCAGCTTGGGTAGAGCCTCCTGGCTTTTGCCTCTGATCTGAGAACATCGAGGTTTCCTGGCATCTTTTCTAACACAGTTTGTGTGGTGAATCTCCCAATATTGTTTGTTGCTGCTCAAGATTCATTAATACGTGGTGAACTGCTTTGCAAGGTGCCAGCTTTGCCTGCTAGCCTTAAAAGTGTTTGTTGCGTTTGTTTCTGGAGCTTGAATGGAGCTATGTGCTCTTGGAAACTCTTCTTGAGGACAGTCCAGCAGAAGAGTCCGAGCTGACAAGGGTCAAAGGGCCTGTGGGACATTTGGGTCCAGAGCAATAGATTTAAGTGCTAACAGAACACAGTTATACTGTGAAAAATGATGAAAATCTGGTGCTTAATATTTTCTTACACCTACTGTATAAGGTAGATGTATGTAAAACTGTAACCCCATTTTCAAAATGTTCTTAAATTTGTAGAGTTCTGCTGTGCTAATTACTGTACATTCCATTAATTTTGTTTTCCATGGCGAAAAAGAAATTGACAACGGAAGCTGCTTGTCTGCCACCAGATATCCCAGGTTTATGCCCTACAGGTTGTTTCAAACTGTATACTGTCACCCATATGCATTGCTACTGTTTTCATTGATGGGACAATGGAAGTGGGTACCCTCATGGTAAATTAAAACTCTCCCAGAAAGTTTTGGTGAATAGGACTGGAGGTAAAGCAGAAAAAATATCAACAGTATTATGTATCCCAGAGAAGTGAAAGTTAGGATTTATGATCATGGCAGTCTTGTGTTTTTGGTGGTTTTGGGTTGTTTTTTGTTGGTTTTTTTTTGTTTGTTTGTTTTTTGGTTTTTTTAAAATTATTTCTATTGTAGTATAACTTAATTGATGGCAGTCTGGTTTTCAGAAAAATTAAAAATTAAGTAGTTTTTGAAGCTGCCATCACACTTGAGGTTCAGCTGATGTCACTGTGGAAGAGTTTTTTCTCTGGGGAACCAGTGCTGAGGAAGTGCCAAGATAATATAATACTGCCTTTGCATGAATTGGCTAAATGTGCATGTTATTGTGCCAGAGGCTGACTGGATCACTAATTCTTATCTGCCCTAACTATGCTGGATAAGCATCAGGATGTACTCATCTAAGAGCTTTTCTTACCATGTGAGCCAAAACCTCCTTTCTCATCTCAAATGCTCTCACATATAGGAGAAGGAGTGCCCTGCACTGAGGTTTATCGCCAAGGTGGCTTCTAATATTCCCGCTACAAGATGAGGACAGACACCACTGATAAACTTTCTTTATGTCCAGATGTCCTTTTCTGGAGCATGGGTTTGTCTAATTTTAAGCTACAGCTTCTGCTTCACATGGGAATTATTAAAGAGGGTGAGGACTTTGTCATGTCCCAAAACAATTTCAAGGCTCTG